TTTTTTTGTACCTGGGATTGAACTCAGGACCTTGCACTTGCGAGGCAGGCAGCAGAACCACTGAGCTAAATCCCTGGCAAGTTACTTTTGTTTTTCTTTAGTTCTCCCTTTAGTACCTTCTTGTGGATTATTTGAATTCTTTTTTTAAGTACTGGAGATTGGTCACAGGGCCTTCACACTGAGCTACAGCCCAAGCCCTTTTTTAATTTTTTTATTTTGAGACAAGGTCTTGTTAAGCTTCCCAGGCTAAGCTCAAACTTGTAATCATCCTGCCTCAGCCTCCCACAGTGCTGGGATTACAGAAGTGTGCCACCATGCATGGCTCTAATGCTTTTTAGTATCCCACTTTAAATTATCTATTGACTTTTAAACTGTATATCTTTCTAAAAATGCTTCTTTTTTGTACTGGGGATGGAACTCAGGACCTTGTACTTGCAAGGCAGGCGCAGTGCCACTGAGCTAAATCTACAGCCCTAAAAATGCTTTTAGTGGTTGTTCTAGCAGTTATAATGTACATCTATAACTTTCCACAGCATACTTTGGGTTGATATTTTACCATTGCTAGTAAAAGGCAGAATTCGTACTGTCATGATCTATACCTAGACATCTCCCCAAAGCTTCGTGTGCTCACAGGTGAAGCCTTTGGGAGGTGATGGGATCGTGGTAGCGTGATCCCATCAATGAATTCATCCACTGAGGAGCTTATAGCTGATTTGCTGTTAAGAGGCAGAATCTGGTAGGAAGAGGTGGATCACTGAGGGCAAGGCCTGCGAAAAGCTTATCTCTTCACTGCACCTTTCTTCACTCTCTCTGCTTCCCATTACCACACCATGAGCAATGCTCCTCTGCCATACCACCCTGCCTTGGACCTAGCCGACTATGGACTGAAACCTCTACAAACCGTGAGCCAAAATAAACCTCTCCTCCTTTAAGTTGTGGGTGTAAGATATTTTCCAGAAGTCATGAGGGATATGACTAAGAAAGATTTTGGTATCAGAGAGGTGGGGTCATTGCTATGACACTACTGGCCATGTGGTTTGGAAGCCTTTGGAACTGGTTCTTGGGAGGAGTTTGGAAAGGTTTGGAGATGCCAGCTAGAGAAGCAGCCCTAGAATGCCGTGAGCCTAGCTTGATGGGAGATACTGGTCAGCACTCAGGAGACCAGAATGGTGACAGAAATGCAAACAGTAAAGACCAGTCTCAGGAGGTTTCGGTTGGGAAAAAGGATGCCATTGGCAGTGGGCCTCTAAGCCATGTGTGTTATGCTCTGGCAGAAAACTTGTGTACATTTTGCTCCTGTCCTGAGACTTTGTGGGAGACTGAAATTAAGAGCAGCAGCCTAATTAATCTGGCAGAAGAAATTTCAAGGCAAACAAACATTCAGGGTGTAGCATGGATAGTGCTTCGTGCATTTAGCCAGGTTTATACTGAAAACCAAGAGCAAGCAGCACTGCTGAATGTTTTAAATTTCAGTTTGGCCAGAAAGGAAGCTCAGATAAAGTTGGGGCCTGCAAAGATGAACCAGAAGACAGCTTGGTTGCCAAAAAGACTAGCATTAAAAATAAGCCAACTACTTTACAACAGGACAAATGGGAAAAATGGCTTAAGGGCCATATTGGGAAAGAGCAAGCTTCTACAATTTGGCCTGCAAAAGTGAAAGAGTGCTTTGAGAAGAGAGTCCCAGGACACCCTGTTGGAATTGATTCCCTGGGATTCACTTCACCTGACCAGCCATCCAGGCAACTGAAGGCCTCTGCAACCACAGGCCAGATGGAAAAAAGCCTAGCTCCTGCTCCACTAGTGACAGACTTTGGCATCATCCACATGGTGCTAGTTTTAGGTACATGGAGAATAAAAGAGTTGTGGAGTCAGAGAGGTTTCCACCTGGATTTTAGGAGGCCTGGGAGGCCACACAAGGTGCCCCAGAGGGCAGTGTGTGAAACTGTGAGAGTGAAGGTGAA